CCTGTCTGGGCTCCCTGCTCAGCGGGGAGTCTGCTTCTCCCTCTGCCACCCCCCTCCCCACTCATGCTTGTTCTCTCTCCCTCAAAAAAAAACTAAAAATAAATACTGAAATGATACATACATAGCCTTAAACTGAAAGTCCCCCTTGCTTCTGCTTGCCTCCCTGCCAGAGAGGACACTCTGACCATGTTGGAAGGGTATCCCCGCTGTTGTCCTTTGCTCACACTGTTTTTACAAAAATGGGTTTCTATGAAATAGATTGTTGTGTGAGCTTTTCCCCCCCCACTTAATATTTCTTGGGAACAGTTCTATGTGAGTGCTCTAATAAAATGTTGACACCCTATCGAAGTATATTATTAATGAGCAGAGGGTGTTGCGGACATTGTTGAAAGTCGCAATGCCCACCACCAACACGGTGCCTTGCCTAGGGTTTCGACAGAACTCTGTGTATTTTGCCTAACTCTCCGAGCACAGGCAGTTTACTTACCTTGGTGCCGCAGTCCTGCAACGGTCTTGGTTTGGGAGAGTCCTTTTGAAAACTACCCTAACTCTATCTAACAAAAGCCCAATGCTTCTACCTGTCTCTGATCCCCTATTTCCCCTAAAATTGGTGTGGGTGAAACGTCTCAGGATCATGTGATTATGCAGCAAGACACAGGGAAAGACTGAAAGTTTTAATCCAAAAACAAATCTGTGATGTCGTTGTTTTTAAGAAGACGACATTGTTTAATTTCAGGCAGAAGAAAAAAGGGCCTGTAATCTCATGTCTTGGGAAAACATTCTGCTTTAAACAAATAGTGCCCCCTAGCTGTATGAGCAGGAGCTTGGCTCACAGCCAGCTTTCTGACATTCTTGTCATACACAACTTCAAAACTCTGAGTCGCAATCGGCATGTTATTAACATCTGAAAGATGAATATATAAATTCTGTTGGAGCATAGTATAGCTCTACTTCTTTCTTATTAAAGGTGGCAGCTTGTTTTCCTAAACTTCTGAGGGCAGAGACTGGAGATCTGCTTTATGTGCTTAGAATGTTCCGTTGCTTAGCATGGGTGCTTAATAAATACTTGGTGAAATAATGTTTGTTGAGTGACAAGAATAGTAGGGTAGGGAAACCTGCCTTTCGCTACTGCATCTGCCCCGAGTGACCTCTATGGGTCTCACACTCTTCCTCTTTTTATTCGTTATTTTATTCATCTATGGATTGAGAGGTTTGGCCCCCATTTCAGGTCCCATCAGGTGTAAGCAGTCTCAAAGTCTATATGGCTTTCCAGGCCTGAAGCCTGACCTAACACCAAGATCTGTGCTGAATCTTTAAAAAACGACCTCACAGAGAACACATACGGTTCCAGCACACCAACATCTCCTTACAATCTATGTGAGGTAGTAAATAGATCAATTCCAGCAAAAAAGATTGGGAGACTGGAGAAGCTTAACTTTCAAAGATCTGGGTGTGGCAAAGAGATAAAGAATGGAATGCTGGGAGAAGGTTGTCTTTCTCCATAAAATCTTTTGAGGGAGGATCAGTGACAGACCACCAGAGGAGCAGGAAAACGACCTCCTAGCTTGCCTGTACGTAAGTCCTCCGGAAACCAGAAGCTTTGCCGCTTGACCTTTTTCAGTATTATGTGGGATCTTAGGACAGTGATGATGGAGCCAAGAACTAGGGGAAATTTGCATAAAATTGGATAAATCTTTGCATTTCTTGGGAGGTAGATGTCTCAAATAGATAGAATCATGGACTTACACAGTCGGAGTTGTTTATGCTTTTCCTGGGCAACATCAGTGAGAGGAATAGTGTCACTTTGGAGGCAGCCATATTCATTTAGGCTTACTTGAAGGCTGTGTGGCCTTAGAGTCAACACATACCTTTGTTGAGCCTCTCCTCATCTGTGAAGTGGGTGTTATATAATATTATGGAAATGGGAATATGTGTGTCTACAGCATAGCTACATTAGCAGTTTGGCTTACTGACTTTTGTGATTTGTAAAGTAAAAATATTTGTGATTTGTAAAAGATAATTAGTTGTATAATGTGTAATGATCAGTCAAGGAGGAGCCTCGTATTGGCTTCTGACTTTCACAGGTTTCATCGTAGTCTCTTCCGTGTCAGAAACTACTGCGCTTACAAAATTTAGCAGATACTGATGGTTTAGTTTGGTGGGAGTTTTGTGAGGCTCTGGGTGGACGGGTGTCGTCAGTTTGGGAAGGTAGGCTGCTTTCAGAGTTTGGACTTTGGCATTGGGAAATCATTGAATGCTTTTAAGGTGGGGCCACTGGATTAGATTAGAGAGAGAGAGAGAGAGACTGGAGAAGATTAAAAAAAAAAAAAGCTGTACTCCGATGTGGAGTCTCCCACCCCTCTGCCATCGCATGTGCCTAAGGGTAGCTGGAGAGCACCGCCAGCCTCTTGGGCTGCTCTCATGTTCATGCCCCTACCTCCAGGGGCACTTTCCTGCTGCCAGATGGTCCTACATTAGTTCCTCGTCCATTTGTTCTTACAAGGTGCTGCCCTGGTCATGTCTAAGTGAAATCCTATACTTGGACAATGGATCTCATCCCTTCATTACTCCACACATTTTTCCTCTCCTAGGTCAATTTTTCGGAAGAAAAATTGGAGCAATCTGAAATTGGTGGGGTGAAGGAATGGAGATCAAGGCAGAGGGCACCACTAGGGGAGAAGTCCTAATGTGGGGACACATTTGAAAGAACCCCAAATGGCTGGAGCCCTGTGGGAGGGGAGAGAGACACAGAAGAAATCTGAGAGGTGGGCCGGGGCCAGATCACTGTGAGGCACTTTGTGAATTTGGGTAGGAAGTGAGTGCTTTTGTTTTTTTTGTTTGTTTGTTTGTTTGTTTTCTGAGACAGCCATGGGAGTGTTCTAAGGGGAAGAGTAACACAGTCTGATTATATATTTACCATTTACATCATTCTACCCAATTTTATTAGTTGCTTACTTACCAGTCTCTCCACCTGATTGCACAATCCTGGGTTTTTTTCATTCTTAGTTTGTTGAGTCATGTCCCGTTAGCCTCCATATATGGATAATAACTGTGGTAGGATTGAATTAAATTAGAAAAGTCCTTATCACTGACCTGCTGGGCTATGGCTGAGTCTGAGTATAACAAAACTAGTTATGACATATTTTGCTTCCCAAATAAGTATAAGGTATGACCTACTTCTTTGTGAGGCATTTCAGAATTTGTCCCCTCACTTTTGGTGGTGGTGAAGGTGGGGGTAAATATTTTTCCCTTCAAGTATATAAAGGCGGAGAATAAGAGCAAAATGGGTGTCCAGAAATGAGCGTTTCCCTTGTGAGAACTCATCTTGTTGCCTAATTGAATTCAAGTGTGTGGCATTGAAAAGCCAGGAGGGCTATTACAGATCATATAGTACAACTGTTTTATAGAAGAGGTGAATTTCAGCAACTAGGCCAGGGGATAGCTTGTGTGAAGTCCCAGTGTCAGGAAGGAACTTGTGTTCATGGAGGTGGAGCAGAGTCTAAAGCAAGGGCCTCCTCTAGCCAAGGCCTTCTTCAGACAGGGCTGGACCAGTGTAGTGGCAGGCTTGAGAGGGCACACTCTAAGGGCACTGGGTGGTATGGGCCATGTATGGCCATCTAATTATATCTCATAACAAAGCTGAAAAGCTGAGTTCTCACACGGGCTCTCTAGATTTCTAAATCTTGGCCATTAATTAAGAAATGAATTTTTAAACACTGTGGTACAAAGTACTTCTGTGGGCCAAGTATAGTCTTCGGGCCACCAGTTTGTAGCATCAGGCTCTAGGTCTTTCTCCAAGTGCGGAGACTGCTGGAGTCCAGGGTTTGTGTTCCCGGGCAGCACAGGACCTAGTGCCAGAGTATATCCAGCCCATCATCCACGTCTCCATGAAGCCTGTGATGGGCTGCAAGCAGCCTAGAAATGGAGCATCTGTGCTTCCTTGGGAGGAAATTACTGAATCTTTAGACCAGAAGGGCAGTTAATGAAGTACTAGGCAGGCTTACACATACTTGTATGGCTTAATAATTAAGAGCAAAAGTCAGAAGACCTGGGCTGGAACCTCGGCTCACTTAACCTCCCTAAGCCTCAGTTTCCTCCTCCATGAATGAGGTTAGTAGCAACACCTGCCTAAGGGGGTCTGTGAGGATTTAGTGCATGTGGGTGCTTGGCATAGAACCTGCTACACAGTTCTCCAAAAATCTTGCTTAGCATTAATGCGCATTTAGGTTTCATTTTCAAACGTCTCCCACATCACTTTTGCTCACTATAACAATCCCTTGAGGGAGACAGAGCAAGTATTTTTAATGCTATTTTTATAAATGAGGAAATCAAGGCTTGAAGGCACTCAGTAACTGGCAGGTCTACCCAGCTTCGCAGGTGGCAGAGCTGGGATCTGAACCCAAGTGTGGTCCAGAATCTGCTTCCTGAAACTTTCTGTCATCACTCAGTAAGATGTGGTCTGAGTCATCAGTTCCGTAACATGAATGGTTGCGCACAGTGATTCATGTTCTTGATTAATTCTTGCTACCAGCAGACTTGACAGTATGACAAAGACTGGGGACTGATCATTGTAGCCACCGAGCCCAGGGTACCCTGCACTCACCAACGGGCCAGTTGATGCTCCTCTCAGAGGCCAAGGGTAGGTGAAGACTAGCCTTTGCTGTGATGTTCCCCTCATCGAACCTGCCTCTGGTTTCTTTCCCGTTTGCTCCCTTATTCCTTGTGTCGACATCAGGAGTCAGTTTGGACTCTGTGGGGAAGGAGCTGAACCTGAGGGGCTGCTCTGTGTTGCAAGGTGCAGATCCGTCAGCCACCCCGGAGCTAACTGAGACCTGCAGCTGTTGTGCTTGGTCTCTCATCGCTAACGGGGCAGGCTTATGTGATTCACCCAATTAGGGCGAAAGGAGAAGTTGTGAACAGAATTGAGAAATGTTCTAAGACCATCTGGTAAGAGGAACACCTACCAGTCTGCTTTCTTTTTCTTTCAGGCCATGACCATCATGCAACCTTGGGTAGCCATCTCCAGCTTCATACTACTTCTGACAGGTAAGCAAATAGGTGGGCTGGGGTCTGGAAGTCCTGAGGATGGGGGACTGTAGGAGATGTGTGAGTGTAGTGTAGGAAGATGGATGTGCTTGGGCTTTGGTGGAAGCTAGTGGGTCAGCTAGTGAGCAAAGAACCAGGCTAAATCTTACTCAAATAAATTGCTTAAATGCTATGAATCGCAAAATCCATGGGTAAATGAACCAGGCACAATGCAGAACAGTGTATCATATCTTGCCATTTGTGTTGGAACGAACAAACAAAAAGGGGTGGGTAGATAGTCCTGTGAGCATGGACTACTCAAGTGTATGTAAAACATAGTAACAGTGTTAGCATGGGTGGGAGGGGATGGGGAGAAGAGACTGGACTAAGATGGAAAGAGGACCAGTCCTTCACCGTCCTTTGATTTTTAAAAAATGATGTGCAACTATCTCTTTTAAAAATATTTTAGTTCAAGCATTGCATGAGATAGAGGGGAAAGTTAGGAATAGATGTAATCTGAAATTTTTAAAACAATAATCTCTAGAAGTCAGATTATGGGGGAAAGTTCATTTCTTATTATAACTCTTGTATAACTTGATTTTTATGATTAGCATATATTATATTTGTAATCCAAAAATGATGTTAGGCAAAATGAAATATAAGAATTCAGTGAAAAAGTCATTTTCTTATTTTATGTAACAATGAGCATTTTTATTCCCAAAGCACTTCCCAAAGTCATAGCATTACTAAATATGGGTGATTGGTGAATTTCCAATTTCTTTTAAGGGCTACCTTGACTGCATTTGGCACTATAGGGTTTTCATGCCACTGTTCCAGAAGAGACTTCTTGTTTTATTTTTTAAGTGGCATAATTTAGTACATGATTGAGTATTTTCCAATTCTCTCTTTTCACGGGGAAAGTGGGCCTCGCTCAGTTGTGGGGCTGTTATCAACTTATGAGAAGCAGTCCCTATTGGATTTTTTTGGACTGATCCTAAAGCCCCTGGTAAACCTCAGCTCCTCCTAGAAGTATTAGAAACACATTTTCTTTTCTTTTTTAAAAAAGATGTTATTTATTTATTTATTTTAGAGAGAGAGAGTGTGAGCAGGGGGAGGGGCAGAGGGAGAGGGAGAGAGGGAATCTCAAGCCAACTCCTCACTGAGTGCAGAGCCTGATGCAGGGCTCGATCTCATGACTCTGAGATGATGACTGGAGGAGAAACCAAGAGTCGGACACTTAACCTATTGAGCCACCCAGGTGCCCCTATTGAGCTTGTCTTTCCATTTTCCTTTGATCACTTCATATGGGTGAACTGAGATGTTTCCTGTTTGGAAACCCATTTTCTAAAAGTTGATTTCTGAAGAGTTACTGGACTTCTGCCTTTAAACCAATAATAACTTTTTTAAATTAAGTTTTTTATTTTAATTCCAGTATAGTTAACATAGTGTTTATATTAGTTTTGGGTGTACAATATAGTGATTCAGCAATTCTATACATTACACAGTGCTCATCATGATAAGTGTACTCTTAATCCCCATCACATATTTCATCCATCCCTTCACTCACCTTCCCTCTGGTAGCCATCAGCTTGTTCTCTGTAGTTAAGAGTCTGTTTCTTGGTTCATCTCTCTTGCTCTCTCACTCTCTCTTTTTTTCCTTTGTTCATTTATTTTGTTTCTTAAATTCCATATATGAGTAAAATCGTATGGTATTTATCTTCCTCTGACTGTCTTATTTTGCTTAGCATTATATATACTCTCTAGCTCCATCCATGTTCTTGCAAATGAAAACCAATAATTCTTTAAACAAAGCATTAGCTCTGCTTTTCTTATAAGAGAGGTTTGAGGTGACTTCACTTGCAATAGCAGTTTAAAAAGTTGCAATAAAAATTAAAACTTTAAATGCAATAGAATTTTTCAAACATATTTTAATTGAGACAGTGACTGAATCTGGGGGAGGGGGAAAGCCACATGTATGTATTACCTATTTAATAAGCATATATATAACTGTCAGACACAGAATGAAATACACACTCATGTATTATTGGAGTGTCATTTGGTTCAAACCTTTTAGAAAGAAATTTGGCCATGTTCATCAAGAGACTGAAAATATTGCTGCCCTTTGTCTTGGTAATTTCTCTCTTAGATGTCTGTGCTATTCCTAAATACAGAAAAAAAGTTTAAATTATATTTTATCTACAAATATCAAATAAATAATGCTTTTAAAGAACATGTTAATGTAAAAATGCTTATAATTTTTTAAATTGAAGATATAAAGTCCTATCATTACAAATGAAATAAACTATGTAAAAAGAAAAAAGTGAAAGTACATGTAAAATTAAAAGACTGAGGCCTCATGCTCTGTATTCTCTTTATTTATAGATGCTGTAGTTTCTTACACTCAAGTGATTGGAGTGGTGGGTCATTCCGCCATGCTACCCTGCACCTACTCAACAGCTAATGGAGTCACAACCATGTGCTGGGGCCGGGGGCCGTGTCCCATGTCCCATTGCTCAGATGAACTGGTCTGGACTGACGGATCCCATGTCACTGTTCAGAAGCACCCGCGTTATAAGCTAAAGGGAAACATTTTAGGAGGGAACGTGTCTTTGACCATAGAGAACGTGGCCCAGACTGATAGGGGTCTGTACTGTTGCCGTGTTGAGCACAAGGGGTGGTTCAATGATATGAAACTCACCGTATCATTGGAGATAATGCCAGGTGAGCTTGTCTTTCCATCTTCCTTTGATCACTTTATATGGGTGAACTGAGATGTTTCCTGTTTGGTAGTAACTTTCTCTTCCTTTAAAAGGGAAAGGGGAGGTTCCTCCAGTCTTGTTTTTCAGTAAGTGTTGGAAAATAGAATAACTTCTATTGGTATAAAATGAAGTGTTCAGACCAATCTTGAGCAAGACTATAGGTGAGAGGATCTTTCCAGTCAGCAAACTATCTCCTAAAGCAGGGCTTCAAAAATGCTAGTTGGTTCAGGGGCACCTGGGTGGCTCAGTTGGTTGGGCGTCTGCCTTTGGCTCAGGTCATGATCCCAGGGTCCTGGGATCGAGCCCCAAGTCAGGCTCCCTGCTCAGCCGGGAGCCTGCTTTTCCCTCTCCTCCCACTTGTACTATCTCTGTTGCTATCTCTGTTTTTCTGTCTCAAATAAATAAATTAAAAAAAATGCTAGTTAGCTCATGAAAAAGCATTCAGTGTTCCATTGTGAAATAGAGTGAACATTCCTATCAAGCTGAATTTGCTCAACTTAAAGAATTGCCCTTTTTTTCTCTGAGATTATGTTTTAGAAGAATTTTTAAATGTCCTTAACATTTTAAAACTGTTTTGGAGAATTTCAAACATATAGAGTAGGTAATATAATATAAGGTCTTATCAAGTAGGGATATCACCCAGCTCTAACAGTTGTCAACTCAATCTAGTTGCATATACATCGTAAAGGGATATATAGTTTCATCCTTCCCTCTGCCCTGCCTGAGATTTTTTGAAGCATATTTCATATCATATCACAAAATTGCTTGTTTAAAAATTAAAGTGACCTATTGCAATATGAAAACATTTATATCCCAACAACTATTCAACAGTTGCTTTTAAGAATTTGATGAAATTCAAAAATCTGTCTTGATGTGAACATCCTTATTTTTGTTACCTTGGATGAATGGAGTGGATTCTTCAGGATTTCCTGGTTTCTGGTGTTCCTTCCTAATGAATTTCCTTCCACTAAGCTCTGATATTGACCACAGAACCCAATACCTGTGGCCTTAATTATCTTTCTTTCTTTCTTTCTTTCTTTTTCTTTCTTTCTTCTTTCTTTCTTTCTTTCTTTCTTTCTTTCTTTCTTTCTTTCTTTCTTTCTTTCTTTCTCTTTCTTTTTCTCTTTCTTTCTCTTTCTTTCTTTCTTTC